TCACCTAGCAGCTGTCTTTGATTATACAGAAGCAGAACCAGTAAATCCAAAAAAGGGCAGCAACAGAAATAATGATTAAGCTTTGTAGCCCAGGAGGAAGTGCTCTTGCAAAAGATGACATTTCCTTAGATACTGTCTTTCTTTAGCCATCCTAAGAGTTCAAATGTGACTCATAAATATATGCTAGATACCAGTCATATTAATCCCTAATTAGATATTAATATAAATTTATTCAAATTAAACAAATTTTAAAAGCTTAATTAATTTACAAAAACTGCAGAGAAGGTGGAGGAGGGTAGCAATTCACTATCTTTTGGGAATTCAGGTTGGAATCCAGGCCACAAATTCTCTTTGATTTTGTACATTGCTTTCAGATCTACCATTAATACCCTTTACTTCTCAAGCCAGGTTAGCCTGGTAGAACTGCATAGTACATTCAGCTCTAGAAAAATGAGATTTCCTTGACCTGAGCCAAGCTGTGAACCACACAACTCTGTTCACTGAAACTCAGCCCATCAGGAGGGCTCCAAGACACAAACTGAAGGTAAAAGTCTTACAGTTACTAGTGATCTTGCACAGGCACCCATCTGGGGGTACATTTTGCTGCCTCTAAGTCTTCATTTTCTTGGATTGATAGTTCATAGGGTCACATTAGCAACTATATCAGGATAGCAGGATATCTTGTGTTTTACATCTGTAGGTCTGTTTTTTAACCTTTGGGTCCACTCAGTCAGATTGCTAGTTAGTATGACTCAAATGGAGAAGAAATTCTCCTCTTCAAAAGAGAAAACCTGTTTGAAAATCAAGAGTCCTTACTAGAATTTAGTATTTATGAAAAAAGACACAGTAGAACATGACCGAATAAAGCAAGAATTACTTATATTTCCATTTCTAAAAAAACATTAAAGATAAAATTAAGGTGTAGTCAAATTTCATTACTCTCAGGTGCATCCATCATTGAGTTAAGAGATGCGGACTGTCTTTTTTCTTTCTCCCTCTGTGTTTTTCTGTTGTTGGCCATCAAGGTCTTTCACCCCAGAGTAGTGGGGAGGAGTAATTCCTTTGCCCCTTGGAGCAAGCCAAGAAGAGGTTAAACTTTTTCAGCCTAGTAAGAGAACTTGGTAAGAGCATTTACTTGAATAAAGTGAATAAAGAACAATTCCTTCATCTTTCCCTGTGTTTTGTTTCCTGATTTTTCTGACCCCGCCCCCCAGTATAATCAGTATAATATTAAACAAAAATGAAAATAAAAACCATCATCCTCATTCATTGTGGTAGAATCTGTATTTTATCCCAGGGCTTCTGAGTATGATGGCTTCTTCTGGATGTGAAAGTACTACAGAAAGCTGATGCCCTATCAGTTGGTACATATTTCTGTATTCGAAGGCAATCATCAAGTCTTCATTGCCTTTCAGATCCCACCCCCGATCCTTCCGTAATTATTATGTTTTAACTAAGCCTCCAACTATCAATCTCTTTATCTAGAGCAATAGTTTTTCTGGTTTTTTTGTTTGTTTGTTTTTCCCCCGTCTTCTTAATTCAAGGATAGCCAGGAATGGAGTTTGTTCACCTATCATTGTGGCCTGTTGTGACCATTACTTGTAATAGTTGACATTTTGTATTTTACCTGTTTGTATGGCATTTACATTAGTTTGGGATTGAGGGACCCTAAGTAAAAATTGATTATTTTATTTTTTCTCTCTCTTGGAACTTGAAAAAAAATAACTAGTACCTCAAAGAGATCGGTTTATAAATTTATTCTTGACTGTTCTGCAGGAAGCAGTACTTGGAAATGGAAAGCCATTGCACTCAGTAGCTCAGAGTCTGTGTTCAAAGTCTGCCCAAATGCATATCAGTGCAATTTATTGGTGCCCACCTAGGGGCTGGAAATCACAGAGCATTCTGAACCACACAAAAGAAGAGCCACAATGTAAGAAAAATAATTGCAGAAATAGAGAAGATACTATTTTCCCAAGTATAAGAATCCTAGAAGTACCAGTTTGACACCAAAGAAAATAAAAAATTGAAAGGTGAGAAAGACTATTAATTTCAGTTCTATAAGCCCATATGGAAATCTGACAAAATAATTTCTCATTCCAATCAATGAATAGCAAGACATGACCAGAATTAGGCTGAACAGCCAACAAAGCAAATCCAGTTTACAAGAATGCCGCCAAAACTAATTATCTGGTTTCCAAAACCATCCTGTCCAGTCACTGCAGCAATACAGAAATGTAGTACAAGTGACAGGTTTTTAGAAGATTTTTTGAAAGTAAAGCTTATATTCTCCAAATTTAATAATTCCTTACTGTTTCTTACCTATAGTCTATTGGCTAAAAAATACAGCATTAAGATTTGACAGTACTTTTGAACTGCAATCTAATACTATCATTTCTGCTTAAATTTTTTGTACTTTTCAGCCAACAACAGAACAAATCGCCATATGCTTGCCCTATTTGAAATTAAAAGAATTATCCAAATACACTGAATGTGAATAGGAAGGTTAACTGGTCATGGTGAGTAAAGTGAAGACTTTGCATGTTCTGCTCTTCAAAGTAAGATAAGCTTTGGCCTATGTGACAGGAATGGCTACTGTAAAAAGCCTTACAATGCTGATGGTTTCTTGCAGTACAGTTGTGACAAGAGCTCTGTGTTCCTATTTGTACACAAATCTAAAAATCAGTAGTGTTAAGAGATGTATGTGGAGTGATTATTGCTAACCTCGGAGCAGGTTCAGGCCCCATCCCTGGAGATATTCAAGGTTGGGCTTGATGGGGCTCTGGGCAACCTGCTCTAGTGAAGATATCCCTGCTTGCTGCAGCGGAGTTGGACTAGATGACCTTTGAAGGTCCCTTCCAACCCAATACATTCTATGATTCTATGATTCAATATTCACAGGGAATATTATAAAATGGACTTCATTTTCAGTGACACTATGCTAGCCCCACCATTGTGTAATTCATTTTATGTATAATAATTAAATTATTAGGTCCTGGTGCAAACAGGTGAAAAGACAGGGGTTCAGCTGCAAAGAACATATAAAGATAATTTATTGTGAAAGAGAAGGGATGAAGACAGACAGTAACAAAACTAGAACAATTTAAAATAATAGCATAAATGTTGCTGGCATCATATTATTGGGTTTTGTTGCTATTCTTGTTTTACTATCATTACTGCAAATATTTATTGTGAGACACCAGATGTCCTCTAGACTTTTAGGTAAAATTTTATCTTTGGGACATACTTGAAGGAGTGGAAGGAAAAGAGTGAAATTTTATTTTAATCTTCAAACATTTTTTTTAGTAATATTTTTAAATACAGTTTCTCCAAAAAACCCAACATGCTGGACTCATGCCTATACTGTTGGAGTACCATCTCTAGCACTGAAGCCAACTGAATAAAGTGATCTTTGTACATACGGTTACTCTCTTTTATACTCCAAAACAGAGTAGCTACCTCTGCACTGCCCACCAGGAATGGCCCCAGGCCTTTGCTAATCCCTAAACTGTATCTGGGAATTTGAGTGAGAAAAGCTAGGTGGAAAGGAGTAAATCCCTGCCAAGAACCATTGCAAAGATTTAACAGTAGAAAAGATTGTGGTTTTATGCTCATGTAATAATCCCTTGTGTTCAATTCAGTAGTATAGAAACCGTTATATAAAGTTTGCCCTTACCACTTCTAAACATGAAAGCAGCCTGCTTTTCCAAATCTCCCATTATCTACATCTTCTCCTCAACCAGCCTGCACTTCCAGATTCGTGCTGCAGAATGAGTATTGTGGTAGGACATAGATAGCTTACTTTTGAAACACGTGAGATTATGAACTCCTATACTCCTGCAGTTTTTTAATATTTACAGAATTGCTAGAGAGAATATGATCCTGTCCAAGCTGTAATTTAACTTCCACAACTTTTTCCAAAAAGGCACCTGAAAGTTTAGATGCATATAAGCAGTTGTTTTTCAGAAATAAAATAATACATAGGCCAGATCATGACTGCTCAATATATCAGTCAAGGAGTAGACCATGAAGAAAGGAGGAACATGTGTTGAGTGCATGAGGCTGCTAACCGAACACCTCGTGGACAAGATGGTGCTCTTTCTTGGCTGAAGCTTTTGAGAACATGAGACAAAACCCCAAAACTGAATTGGGGGTGGGGGAAAGAATTTGTCTTCAGCAGAAGCAGTGACATATTTTTTTTTGTCTTTTCACAATAATTCAAAATGTCACTCATTTCTAACAACAATAATAAAAGTGGAGTTGTGGTATGAGTATTAACTCATCACCTTGCAGAAACAAATCCTAGCATATGAAATTCAAATACTGAATCTGTGACACCTACACTGATAAACTTGAAAAATTAAAGTATTTCTCCTTCTGCTTTTTAATTACCTGGAGACAACATGCAATATTTTGTATTTTATAAATCGTACAAATAGCACAATTTATAAAAATGTAACTATTTTATGAAGTTATATTTTTAAAATTGAAGATATTTTGCTGATGCTCTTTATAAATATATTTCCACAAAGTTAATGATTCCTTCAATTAAAAAATAACAAGCTTACACTCCTTGCTGGCAGACATTATTTTCCTCTGAAAGACTCATCAGCAAAACAACACTGCAAGTGTTACCAGAATGTGATAGAAGGCTTTGTGCTGTAGATGAGAAAAAGTTTTTAGGAAACTTAAAAGAATTTACCTTGACAAGAAGTCCGTGAAAGAGAGACGTATTGGATATCCATGTCGTATGATTTTGACCATGTCTAGGACACCAATATATTGCAGTTGAGCAGACACATAAAAATTATCAAAAGTATCTGGCAACTTGGAGTTATTAGGCTTTATACAATGAACAGAATGTGGTGTGCAGTTCTGCAGCTTCCCAATAATATCTGTGAGTGATTTCTGTGGGGGAAAAAAAAACAGCTATCAATCTTTATTGTGCAGCAAAGGCAATTGCACAACACATTTGCTCCTCCTAACTTTTAAACATTTTCTTAAAAGGCTTGACCTGGTTATGCAAGTGGCTTTCTCAAGCATATGATTTTTTCTTCCTTCCACTGCAATCTGTAGAGTCTAATCCTGCCTTATTTATTTATTTATTTATTTATTTATTTATTTATTTATTTATTTTTATTTTTATTTCTGTCCAGAAGATATTCACTAACCCTGAGCTGTATTGCCACAGTGGTTGGGCCTCCCCGTTCCAGTCTCTGAAGAAATGAGGATGTTCCTTTCTTTTTCAACAGCTGTAGGGGAGAAAAGCACACACAAAATACCTTCATTTCAAGATGGGCAGTAAACCTTCATATTCATTGTAAACACAATTTACTAACAAAGGTGAACATTTATACAAATAGTATGTCATAGACAATTATTTGAGTTTCAGAAAAAAAATGAGAAAGTGGATAAATATCCTCAAGTATTTGCAGAGTCATGACTGGCAAGAAAGTTTTGATTTCAAAAGCAGCTGTATACTATTCAAAAGATAAAATACCTTTTCTAAACAACTGGGCAAAACAATGGGATCTGGAACTCTATTGCAGAAGCAGGACTTGTACAGTTAGCATTCCATACAGTCTACCTATAAGTAATATAATTCTGTAGCTCTCCAAAATGTTCCTTATGTCTTTGGCAGATGCTTAAGTAAATCTAAGCACAGATCATTAAAAAAATCTTGAAGGCAAAACAGTAATATTAATATTAAAAACCCCCTCTTTTCTTCCTGCACAAGTAAATGCAGTTAACCTTTTTCCCTTTCATTTTAAACTGATTTTCACCCATTATAGACATAAATTATCAATAACTTTGTATCTCATTAGAACCAATGTTATCCTATACATCAGAGTTGGGAGGGGGGAATAAATTTATTTTTTACTCTTCTACTTCCTGTCTTGGAAACTAAAATGGCAATAATCATCCTAAAACTGGTCCTATAAATTAGTATTTTTTTGTTAAAGATTCTACAGCAAGGCTGGCAAAATTATTGCATTCCAGGATTTGGCTTAGCTTTTAGATTCAAACCTCTGTATCAATGACAGCCTTTTCACCTCTGACTTCTTTTAACTGCCTTTCTCCAGTCCACTTACCTGATAAAACTCACTTCTATCAAGTCAGCATGTTCTGGCCTACTCCTGTCTTTTTCCAGTTGCATTAAAAAAGCATACATTTCCTCACCTTGGCCCACTCGAGCCAAACTTAATTAAAAATAGTGCAGTGCAAGCAATTCTTTACTCACTCTGCTAAACTTTGGAGCTCTTTTTCATTTCAAATCTCAATTACTAAGATGCAATAAGATTTTAAAGGCAAATTCATCCCCAACTTCAAAACAGAAAAGTAATAGAGATCTGCTTGCAACATGTCTTCTCATAAAAAGAACTACTAGCATACCAGTGACACTTCTCAGCTAGAGTTTACAAAATGATTGAGGAATGTAACTAAAAAAGAGTTTTCTCCACTTTACAGTTAATGCACTCAGCCCTTCCTCCCAACAGATTAAGTCTGTTGGGATTTAAATTCAAGACCATTTCCTGAGTTAGTGGAAGAGCCAGGAACAATGCTTTGGATGCTGAAGTTCCTGCCTGCTGTCTGGTGGTGCACACTTCCTCTGATGGGAAAGAAGTGTTTGGTTCAGAATGAGGGAGAGAAAAGAAAGGAAACAAGGCAAAGACACAAAATGAATTTAATTAAAACCCTCCAGACTTGGATATCTCCAGCTATGGGCTAAGGAACAAGACTACATCACTAAAGCTGTGCTTCACTATTATCCTCTGATATACAGCTTTATATTGGAAAATCTCGTACCTCTAATCTACACACACACACACAAAATAAATATATATATATATATATGTAACTTTGTAATTTCTATTAAGAAGCTAAAATCGCCTTCTAAAAATTCTCTCTTTACCAGCTGAATATTTTAAAGCTTTAACTAGAAAACATACCAAAAGCTTTGCAATAGATGAGTTCTTCAACTAAGAGGATGAAGCAAAGTGTTAATAAAGAGAAAGAATGTAGAGTCAATGGCAAGAAAAGCCTTTTCTTAAAGATGTGCATTCATGTGACTGGACTTCTGCTTTATGAACTCTGAAATCCATTGATTCTTCCAAAAGAAGCAAGGGGAAGGCAAGAGGGCCAAAGTTTCCACTAGGAAAAGATTACAGAAAAACAAGGGAGCAAGAGCTGATGTGAGCAAGAGAGTTGTGGGAGTATCAATGAAGATAAATTCTATTTTATCTGAAAAGAGGACATAGTCTTCCTAAGTTACAGAGACTTGATCTGGTATCCCCAAATTCCTATGACTCCTTATGTGCTCCAGAATTCTGTCCAGCTATTAGCTCTTTTAATGTCTGTCTTAGGATAGACACACTGTTTTCTTGGACCCTACTACAAGTAGAGTGGCGAGTTCAAAGAGGCAGACCATCCTTACATGTGACATCATGCTCAAAATCAAGGAGTCATTTATGGAAAGGTAAACAGGTAGATACATGGATACACACAGAGAAATCTATAATTATATAATCTAGCAAGTAGCTAGATATTGTGGAGTCTGTGTGACTATCCATACACAGCAACATGAATACCTTCCATTTTGTGTTTCTCACTACCTACAGTATGACATATGTCACAACTCAAATTTCAGATATAAAAGGAATGCCAGTCTCCTGTTGATAATTTTTCCCTGATGTCCCTCTTTCCTCTCCCCCAACCTTTCCTTTTTTTTTTTTTAATTTTTTTTTATTGCCTTTACCCTCAGGATAAACTCCAATAAAAATTCAGTGGTTATGATTTTCCAACATAGAGTATTTTTTTAAAATTTTTTTTTTTATTGCCTTTACCCTCAGGATAAACTCCAATAAAAATTCAGTGGTTATGATTTTCCAACATAGAGTAATTTTAATTCTACACTGGTAAAACAACGCCCCTTACATTGCATTTCCAATTACAATAACAATGAGAAACCAGCAAAAAAAAACATTACTCCAGCCCATCACAGTGGATTTCCAAGGCTATACTGGAAAAGGGAAGAAATCATTTGGGACAGCACAGTTATAGATGTAGGCTTGATTCACAAAAGAATTTACGCACTTACCGACTTCCAGCTGCTGCATCAGGTGCCTAATCCAAAATAACAAATGTCTCTTTTTGCCACTGGAACAGCTTAGATCCCTAAAGTTCTGCTTCCATCCCAAAGGGCAGCACAGTACCTTGCTCAAATTAGGCCAACTTAGTATCTACAAACTAAGTGATATTCTATCTCACCTGTGCAGCTCTTCTCAAAGCCTACCTTTGAGAAGCCAAGTAATCCTTGTTTCTGTGGGCAGATGAAGGATGAAGTTCTTTCCACCTTCCATCTAACACCTAAAAGTTTAGAGCATCCTCATTGAATCTGGAATTTCTTAATTTATCACGCTTCCCAAAGGAATTTGAATATATCTTCTGTCTATCTCGAGTAACTCCAGGTTAAAAGCTATTTTGGACTGGTCAAAAACCTCATAGTTTCAGAGAACCCAGCTGTGTGGTGTTTCCCCCTGGCCTGATTAGGCTTCTAACTTAGACGTGCTTTTCATACTTCCTTCCATGTATGGGACTAGGATCTTTTTCACAGCCTTAGGAAGCTTCCTCTAGGAAGCTGTTACTATAGTGGAAAGGCACCTAAAGGCACCTTGTGATGCCTCAGCTGTTTGCTAAATATATTCTTAAACCAACACCATTCACTTCAACTTAAGTTTTTCCACTGAGATTACTGACAAGAACAGTAGACAGGAATTATGCTACTATCAGCAGGGGGACTATAAGGAAAGTCCTATTGCTATTCTATGGATGTACTTGCATAAAGCTTTCCACAATGACACATGAGAGCAGGCTCCTTAATCCCATGACAGAATCAATTTTATGCAGCTGTAAACCAAAAATAGAGTCATAAGATTCAAGAAGCCTGGCGAAGCAGCTGATGTATTGTGAGAACTGCTTGCTTCTTTTCTAGAAGAAGGAAGAATTCCAAAGCTCTGTCAAGAATGGACTCAGAAAATCATGTTATGACTCCTCAAAATAGAGATGTTCCATGTGATATGAACAACTAATTTTCTGATAGCCTCTGAAGTTTCTTCCCACTCTAGTTTTGTTTGGTTTTCTTTAACTTTTTTGTCTGACTTAGCAAACAGAAAAAGAGTAAAGTTCAGAAATGGCAAGAGTTTGATTTGATTTCAAAACAACTGGGAAAATTTACATGCAAGTGACCATTTAAAATAACAATTTTTGTCAAAATGTGCAGGGTTGAGCTTCATACAAAACGACATGAACTATCTTTTGCAAACTAGGAATCTTCCCAGATTAACACAATAAAGACATTGAGGTTGCGCTTCCTATGTTTTAACTTACTCAACTATTCATCTGAAGTCAGCCAAGGAGACAAAACAAAGAAGTGTTCCTATACAGCCAAAAATCATCAACATTGCATCCACTGCTAAGCCCTGGAACAACAAAATCATGGAATGATTCAAGCTTGAAGGGACCTGATTATCTCATCATTTTCCTCCTGCTTAGAGAGTCCAAGAAAGATGCTCTTGAACCAGCATTATTAGTGTTAGTAAATTCTAATCTGTTAGTTCTCACTATTGCTTTAGTGTTGCTATTAAGTATTAGGTTGTTTTAATAGTTTAATGACTACAGAGAATGAAGCAGAGAAAAAGGAGCTTTCAGAAATTACAAAGTAATTGAGAAAAATCTTCAAGGAGCAAAGAGCAAAGAGAGTTCTAAATTCTTACCTTGCTGAGCTCGATATATTTCTTTGCTTCTCCACTTGCAGAGGCTACTGATGGTTTTTTACTCAGTAAAGCTGCTTTACATCCCTTGATTTTAAGGGAATGATATGGAGGAACAAGTGATCCAGTTTGCGTCAGTTTGGACTGGAACAATTGATTGATTACTACGTTTTCACTGGCTAGGAAAAAAAGAAGAAATTAATGCATGAAGATAAAATACAAGTTAGAAAACTAAATATACTGTATTTGGAAGTAAAAAGACGTACAGTAGGAGACAGAATTAAATCAGTAAACTTAAAACAAGTGGACAAATCAATAAACCATTATATTATGTTAGTTATCAATAAGCATTCAATATCTAAGGATGTCAGTCATCATTAACACTATTTTTAAACACTTTTGGGTCCTGTGCTGAACAAAATGGCAGAAAACAAAACCTTTCAGACTTATATGTCTAAACTTAATTACTTATGTGATAATCACCTCTGAATTTTGTTCCATTGCAGACTCCCAATTTGCCCATGTATTAAAGCAATGCAAGAGATGCATTCTGCACAATCTTTACCTAAAGTAGTATTTAGAAATTATCAAGGCACCTGACAGAAATAAATTATAGACACTCATTGCACCAAATAAAAAGAATTCTATAAAATACAATTTAAAAAAAGGCAAAAAAAAAAAAAAAAAAAAAAAAAAGGCAAGGTGAAGGACAGAACTGTAGCAAGCTGTGTTCACATTTCTCTACATCAAGACCACATTTATAAACTTTTACAGATAAAAGACAATGTCATACATATGTTTGATGCAGTGGTAATAATTAGTACAAAACAAATACACTTCCAAGTGGAGTTTTTAAAATAAAAAAATTGAGTTTTAAGATGGATACAATAACTTTATACAAATTTCAGTCAAATTATCCTTTATGAGATTATGGTCACGGGCTTTTTAATATGAACATGGCAATTACATGGTGCTTGTACTGCCACAGCACCAATAAGTATTAAAAAACCCATTGTGTGATACATCCTTAACCGTCCTTAATTTTTATTACTTTTTCTTTAAGCACTAACAAACTGATATTATGATCACACCTATCGTGAATAAAACAAACAAACAAAAACAAACAGAAGGATGAATGGGATAAGCATCATAAATAATGTCACTAAGTTTAGCATAGCAGGTAGAAATCCTCAGTTTGCTCTATATTAGCTGTATAAAGGCATATTAATGGATGCCTCAGTGCAATAGCTTTGTTTCTTTTTTCTGTGGAGGTTACTCTTCCTTACTTAACAGGAATAAGAAAATTATGAGGAAGATAGTAAAGCAGATACTTGAAAAGATTTCAGCACAATCAGTGGACATAGTAAACCTCAAGATTTTTAAAATATGGATAAATGTACTAAGTAGCTTTAAGAAAGGCATAAAAATTATGTCCTTCAAATTAAAACAGATAAAATCTATGTCAATAGTCTCTCCTGATTTATTTGTCACACTGGTATGTTCCACACTC